CCACTATTTGTCTAGTTTATAAGTAGTTTCTAGGTGTGCGTTGGAGGGGGGGGGGTTAAATTTGGGAAACATTAGTCCAGATCATACAGTTAACATAGTGCTAATATAAGCAGCGGGATCAAGTTAGGTATACTATGAGCTTGCTTTCCCCATCTGTCAACTTATGAAACTTTAAGTGTTATTTTTGTGAAGGTTTGTTGCTAAAGTTAAGATCATCCTCATTTTTTATTTTAGTTTTCTCTGTTAAAAAATATTTAACAAGAAATTAAAAGTTTATACACTAAATAAGGATTTGTAGTACTTGCTAACACTCAAGGCAGTTTTGTGCTTCATTGACCATGTTCAGTAACTATAATTTTTTACTGATTTGGATCTCCTGAAAAAAAGAATTAACGTAGCTTTCAAATATGAATTTTAGAACACAAAAAGTATATGTCACTAGATTAGAATGTCCCAAAACTGCTGTACTTTATACTGTTTTACCGATCATGTCACAATCGGAAATCACTAATTGCTGGTTATTATAGTGCAAAATTGGCTCGATTCTGATTGCCAATTCCAATTATGTACATTAAAGTTGCCGATGTCATTGTGCAGTATTGTTGACAGTTTACCCTCAAAGTTGTAACGACTATAAATAATGTACTTTGAAGCTTCATTAAATTTGAAATGATTGAAGTTATCAATAAATGTGCTATGCAAAAACAAAATCTCTTTTTCGTTTTTTTATTTGAATGAGAGAAAAATAAAAATGGAGACAGACCTTGTGGCTAGTACATGATCTGTACATAACGTTATGTGACCATTGTGAGAGACAAATAAATTGTTGAGAGGGTCATTGCCTAAATTCATCATTCACTTCATCCATAACTTTGAAGACTTTTGCTGTCTCTCTACATATTTTGAACTAAACCACTTTCTAAATCAAATGAAGTATTCCAACCAAAGATCAAATAAAGTGACAGTGTGATTCTAAGGCCTCCATATAACGTAATGTAGGCTACATGCACATAGTATATGCTGATCATTGTTAATATGTGTACCATAATGCATAAACTCAGTGTGCACATGGTGCGAATGTTCATCGTTCACAGAGCATCCATGTACTAACTTAACTTGTACACAAATTGTGTATTACAGAGTTAGTTGTATACTATACTGTACAGGGCTTTGTTGTGCAAAGAACAAAGCTATGCTCCAAATCCACTTTTGGAAGGCACAATAATAATAAAACTTATATATTTTTCTCTTGGCATGAACTTGAGGAATGACCAGTGCTGCAAGACAGACTGTGAAAACAGCAAAAAAAATTTTTTGCTCCTAGGAACTGGTAAAATGAGCGTAAAATTTCCAGTGTGGTACTAATAGGGAGCCACATGGAATATCGTTCCAAGAACTTTACTGGAAAAGTCTGTGCAGACCTCCAGCAAGCATGCAGTGTGTATTAGCTCTGTGCATAGAGTGCTGTTATCCACTGTTTGCTAATGTATGGTTTGTAAAAAAAATGAGTTGTGCTTTGTAATGGGAGGAGCATTGTTTTTTAACCTTTCTTTTGTTCAGTGAATCAACTTGTGTGAATAAATGAGAAACAGACAGGGATTGTTTTAACTGATGATACTTTATTCAAAGGTGAATAATGTTTTGTGTCAAAAGAGAAAGGATCATGATTGTAAGCATGCTTACAAATCAGAAAATTGTTGTGAATAAAGTGGTCTGGATGGTGTTATTTTTATAACTAATTATAAATAAAGCACTAGTAATTTATCCAACTCTCTAAGTAAACTATGAATAGGTTAAAAAATTATTTTAGCATCTGGAGCTGCAAAATATGGTAAACACAAACCAAACAATTTTGCTATCAGTTTGCACTTGGGAAATTAAACATAGCATCATAATATTTATGTAGAATAGAATCTGCTATATCTATTGGTTATAAACATGTCCATCACCCCTGGAAGGTTGATTAGAAAACAATCTTGAAACCCATGGAGGGAGAGAGGAGGGGAACTCTCTGGTGGCTTTGACAAATTTATCGGTATCTCAGCAAATCAAGAAAGTAGGAGCTTCACACATTAAAGTTTTGCTGATAATTATCTGTAGTTTGTTGTTCTAATTGGCTAGAAATTGCAGAAGCTTGTTATTGAAGTTATAAATTTCTGAAAGTGAGAAATTGGAGCTCAGGCCTGTCACATTACACAGAAAAATCAAGATTGAGAATGTTTTAAATACTTTCTTTAGAAATTAAGAAGTACTTAGATAATAAATATTTGAAATACAATGTACATTTCCATGTCATCTTTAGTGACAAAAATTGATAATAAAGTTGTTTGATTAAATTTTGAATGTAACAATAACAGGGTGCGACATGTTCAAAAGAGCCAGGCCCAGTTGCATAGGATTAATTGATAAGTGTCAAGACTCAAGAAAATAATCAACCAATCAAAATTAAGGTTTCTGATTATTACTATTTCCAATTATTGGAGCTGTTCAAGTAATGGAAATTTTTCAGTTATGTTTGTTTACATTGAATATATTTCAATCACCAAAATATGAATGAACAGATGTCTTAGAGGCCTAATCTATGCTTTGGTTTGCTACTTCTTTTGCATCAGACTAGCTTTGCCAAGATTATGGCTCATCTGTGTTGCTTTGAAGAGCAAAGCAAATATATAAACTTGTGTATTAATGGAATCTAAACAATCTGTATGGTTTTCATGTATAGCCCTTTACTCACTACTAATAACCAAAAATATCAGGAATCGATTAGTTTAGGTTATTAGTAATGAGTAAAGGACTATACATTAGAAGCAAATTAAAGTTTAGAGATGGCTTGAATAGGTAATGAAAGAAACTTTATTATAGATTACAACATTTCAACAAGTTCATCATCATCAGGTACCAAAATCATAACAGTTTTGGTTTTAGAAAAAATTCCAAACTTATTGAAGACTGCAACTTTGTTCAAGTAAAATATATTTTTGGGATAATTATCAGTGTTAGATCTAACACTATTGAACCCAGACTGCCAATATAAATGTGTTCAAAATGGATAAACAAATTGAACTTATCACCTCATTGAAAGGGAAAATAAAACTATTAAGATCAAGCTTAGAATTTCTTACTTTTCATCATTTGATTGGATAAGAAGCCCATTTTTGTTGAGCCTTTTGAAACTTGAAGGGAGATTTATAAAAAATGTTACATGTGTCATTTTGTTCAGTATATGTGTGTACATTTTTATTAATTAACATTATACAGCATAAAATATAATTATTCGGGATGGTTATTTGAAAGATCAAAAGTGTCAGTTATATGTGGAACTTTGTAAATCAACTTAAAAAGATTTAATTTCAAATGAATGAG